TCCATCCATCCATCCATCCATCCATTGGTTCATTCATTCATTCATGATCATTCATTCCTATTCTTTCTTTCTTAGTTTTCAGGGCATGTCGTTTTCGAGGGCCATTTCATTGTTTATATTTTCTTTCTTTCTTTCAGTTAGTTTCAATTCTGTTTTAGACTTAATTTAGGTGATGTTTCTTTTCGCTTACTTTTTTTAGTTTTTATAGTTATATTTTCTTAAATTTATTGTTTTTTCTTCCATATTTGTGTACTACTTTTTTTTTGTCTTATTTTAAATTGTTGTTGTTAAATTGCAGTCGGTAATTTAAAAACCGTAAATCTACCACTGAGCGCAAAATCGTTGGTAAATTACATTCTAAAGAGGAAAAAAGCATAAGTAGATAATACGTACATTAGTAAACGAAAAAACTTCCGTCGGAAACACTAGAGATTGTAATATAAATCCACGAGAGCAAAGATAGGGTGTCATGCAGAATAAGTTTTCTTTGACAAACTGAATTGAATAAAAGCGTCCAGTAGAGTACGTTGATTTTAACTAACTGACGTAAAAAGTAAGATATTGCATGCAGCCAAATTTTATTCCAAGGTTGATTTTTAGTTTTATTCCTTTTCCTATTTCATATACCTCCTTTCTAACTGATAAGCGATGTACGACCTCGGCACCATCTTTATGTTTATCAACACGTTTCCTGTTACTGTTTGTACATATCTATGTTTCCGATGATAATTAATGAAATGCTCGTTTTTCCAAAATTACTCTCATCGTCATATTACGATTTATTTATTTTGCATCTCCGAAATCGAAGGTTAAAGCTCGAAAAAAAAAAGACATGCGATCAATACTATATACGAGATTATATTTATTTATTTAAATGTATTTATTTATTTATTTATTCAATTAATTATATTCAGTGTAAGAACATTGAGATATCTTAGTAATAAGCAAGAATAAAAGTATTATTATTAATCATTATTATGTAAGTATAGAAAAATTAAGATTATTGTCATACGTGATGGTAAAACGGTAAAGGTAAAGCTTTTTTTTTTTACTTTTATGATGCGAGAAGGCAAGGGCTTCTCTCGAGCCAGGTGCGTAGATAAAGATACGCCCTTTACCTCCTCAGACTATCAGTGCTCTTCATTACTTGTACTGCAGACTTTGGTCAACCGCACTCTCACTTTATTTTAGGCATTTTTCTACGTTTGTATTTTATGAGTGTATTCTAAGTTGTATTGATTTGAGTGTAATAGAATTTAAAGGGAAAGCATTGCAAGTTAAATGCTTCCAGTTTCAGTTGAAGTCACAAAAAGTAGCTCTCGACTCAGTTGAAAAACATGGCCATTGTTTGAGAGTGAAATTAAAGAGTACGCGAGACCCGGTTATTTTAGTTAAATTAAATGGAATACTTTGATGGGTTCCGGCTCCTGTATACTCAAAAGAAAGTATAAAGGAGATCAGTTTATTATATAGATATCGATGAAATATCAGGATTTATCCGGTGTCTAAAATATCGTACATTCTACTCGGTGAAGATATCATATTCGTCACATGTGAAGATATCACCGTTGCCATGACTACGTTCTCATCAACCAATCACATTTAGGCCTTCACGGTTTCTTTAATTCAATCAAAAATGTGATATCCATCGCCGGCAAACGAGACCTTTAATGATAACTTTGACCTGTTTTCTCATTTTTATGAAATGCAAGAACAAGGACGGGGAAAGACTACGAACTGTCCTCGCTTTGTGATATTTTGTCGAGTTTTGAACGCCATTTTTCAATTACGGTAAATCCAATTTTAAAGTTTGTAAATTCTAAAAATCTCATATATTTTTCTTGTTTGTATTTAGCAAGGTTAATCCATGGCCAACACAGTGATTTTTAATTAAGAAATTGTTGTATCATTGAACTGTTTGATTTGAGTCTTCATTAAAGAAATATTACTGAAGCTTAAGTTTCATTATCTTTAAGATTTCAAATTCAATTTATAGGAAGATGTTCCAAATGTTTGTTGATTAATAATAAATAGTTCAAGTTTATATGTTTGTGTTGGAAGTACTTTTATCGAATATCTTATATAACAAACAGAATATTACATGGACGCATGGACATACAAATTTGATCTTCTCGTGTTGAAAAGATCTCTCACTCGTTCGATGCGTTCACTCGTGAGAAATATTCTCAACACTCGCGCTCATGTAATATCCTCAGATGTCTCACTTATGACAGCAGGCAACACTTGAAAGGGTTTCTCTAATTACTGCTATATATATTGTTTGAATACAAATTGACGTTTTAGCAGAAGGAAAACACACATTGGGAAACTGCCAACACTCTTAAAAACAAACAACAATCATAAACAATCAAATGAAATTTGAACTGATAAATTCAGGACAGTATCACGAGAGCCTTTAAAAGTGGAAAGAGGGAATGTTGAACTAAACGTTCTTGCACACATTCATGCTCCTGATTTTTTTTATTTTTATGGTTCATTCCAGAGAAGTCAAAAAGAGTAAGTACGGTCTAATTTCAAGAACTCTACTTAAGAAGAAAGGTGAATTCTCTAAACTACGGTCTTCGTTCACAATCATAATACATTATAGACATTAAGAGGAAATTTTTTTTCAATAATGAGCAATAATGGCAAAAAAGCGCCAAAAACTAGATTTTATGAGTTTTGATCCCAATTTTCCGTTTTGGGTGAACACTCAAAACCTTTTTTAAACCGTTAGAAACTTATGTACTATGATAAAATGCCTATTTGAAGCGGTTATTTTCAATTGTACAAACTAAAATGCTTTTGTTGCATTTGTGTTAGAATGTTGCTTTGTCAGTTTTTTTTATAGAAAATATATGGGAAATAAGCAAATGAAGGCCTAAACCTCATTTTCGAATAAAATTTTTGCTTTGGGTCATGTGACACTTTGATTCCACTTTTATCGGTCATCTCCACTTCCAAACAAGTTAAACTTTCTGAATAACAAGATTTTAGCCTTGTAGAACAGCCTTTCTTCAAGAAAAAAGTTTTTGGCGCTCACTGAATACAAAAAGAATTCTCTCTTAATATTTTACTGTGAAATACGCCACTTCAGTATGTATATTTCATTCGAACTACATCCGGGACGTTAGTGATATATTTTCCATCTCCTCACTAATGAAGATATCGATGAAGTTTATTTTTCCCAATGTTTTCCAATGTTTTCAACAAGTTTTTGTTTGTAAAGGTATCTATATAAAATAACAAGAAAAATTCACGGTTTTTAAAGTTTTCCTTCTCGCGTGTTAAAAAATATTTTATCACTCGAAGATCAACTTCATATCTTCGCGTCACCGTGTAATATCCTTTATATATCCAAATTTTCCCATCGACTTGTATAAAAAGTTAAGATTGTTACTAGAACAAAACATAAGCTAAGGCTGGCTTTGTATCGCTGTATTCACCAAGCTTAAAAGGGATCGAATGAAAACGTAAAAAATCTACATCCTCGATGACTTTTGTAATCCATTTAACTCGGCACTTTTAAATAGATCGGAAAATGGATTACGTCAAAAGAACATGAATCATTGTTAATACTGATTATCAATCCTGCACGTTCGTGAAACAGAGTTAGAAATAAAACTACGATATGTATCTCAGTTCAATAGTATGTTGATAATATTATTATATCCCAAAGCGAACTTTCCAGAGAGCACTTACAAAAGGCGTCACCATTTTCATCTAGTAATCAGAAACACTGTTATAAGAGAATTATCTGTGTTGAAACTCAAAAGGCAATGTTCACTATATGGGTAAGTGCAAAAAGGTTATTATTATTAATTGTGAGCGACATAAGAAAATTGTATTTAACTTCAGAGAAAATGATGGTTATCTACAAAAAAGAAAACTATTTTTTCAGAAGCCCTAGTAATTAACATAAATTAGTTTTATAATCTTTGATTTCCTTGTATATATGTACGAAAGGGTCAAAGTTTTTGAGTGTGAGCCACATAAGGAAATCATATTTAACTTCATAGAAAATAAAGGTTATCGCCAAAAAAGAAATAGAAGATATTACATGGGCGCTTGGAGATACGAAATTTATCTTCGAGTGTTCAAAAAAGAACTCTTACTCGTTCGCTGCGCTCACTCGTCAGAGATTTTCAACACGAGAAGATAAATTTCGTATCTCCAAGCGCCCATTTAATATTCTGTTTAATATATAATTATCCATAAAATCAACTTAACAAGCTTTTTATGATTATAAAAAGGCTTTTATTTACAAACTAATAGCTTAGATACACATGGTAACGATGATATTTTCACATGTGAAAATATCAGTTTTTCGAAAACGGAGAAATAGATATTTTATGGCTAATTATATGATAAAACTATTTATTCAGAAAGCCTTCAGAGTGTTAGACAACTCGAAAAAAACAACAACAAACAAACAAAACAAAAAAAGGTGTGACATCCCATCATTTTTGATGCATTTTTGATTTACTTGTATATATGTACGAAAGGGTCAAAGTTTTTGCATATGGCTGTATATATACAAATATAACTGTCAGGTGGTTATGGACGAAAATCGCAATCTTCAACAACATAGTTGAAATAAATGAAATGTTTTATTTATAGTGTAAAGAGGCAACAGAAAGAAATTTTGAAGTGCTTCTAGAAGACCGTTGAAAAAAAAAAWTTTTTAAAGCGGAATAAAACGGCTTCTTATGTCTCTGTAATATGATATAAATACTGTAGGAGCTGTAAGTGCTTTTAATTAGTAAAGTTTGCTTCTCTCGTACTCTACAACGGCTCCCAGCGTGTTAAATATCACAGTAAAGAGACATGCGCGCGTTTAATGATATTCCTTAAATATATGAATCTATAAATTTCAATGGAATAGCACTACACTAATGTAGTCTATATTTAGTACACCATACTAAGTACATCACCTGCTACTCGCTTATTGGAAGTTCATCGCTTGGAATCAAGATTAGCTGATTGTACCTGCAAACAAACCACATTATTACTTCCAATATTATTAATTTTTTATCAGTTTTTTTTAGTTATTTTTACCATACTGCGAAAAAAACTGGAGAAACTGGATCTAAAAAATGACTTAATAAATATCTCTAAACACGGCTGGGTACCTCGGTGATCAACCAATCCTGTCTTACTGACCATTAATCGGAACACAAACCGGCATTAGAAATAGAGCAGATATTATTTACATGAATAGAGATAGATTTTCTTATTGTTCACTAGGCCCAATAAATTGAAGAACTCAGAAGTAAAATATTAAGCTAAGACATTAGATMATAGGAAGAAACAACTAAGAGTCTCGACGAATAATAATGAAACGGGTGGAATTTTTTTTAAATGTTCGATAAAGGAGTCTTGCTGCACAAATGAAGCAAGCAGGGGGGTAAAGTAATGTTTCACTTCTGATTGTATCGATACCCTGAAAAATCAAATCATGCTCAAAATCTAAGTCAGAGCTCGGCTAACTCACAGATCAAACCCTGAAACAACCTCTGGGCTGTTCTAAGTCACGGTCCACGTTAAATCAGAGATCACACCCTGAAACAACATCTAGGAGGGTTAAAGTCGTGCAGGACCCACGTCAAGGGTCAAACTGCTGAAACAACCACAGCCTTGGCTGATCATGAAGACTCGGCACGGCTAACTCACAGATCCAGTTGCGGGTATTTAGCAGTTTAGTTTTCTTTATGAGAATGTATGGCCATGTTATTAATGAATCGATTGATCGGCCGAGAAACGATTACAAGAATATAAGTTATCCTCCTAAGACGAACCGTTTTATTGAGTGAATAAAATATCTTACGCGAGAGAAGGAACGCGGCAAAATAAACAAAGGTCTTATTCTGTTTAATGATATTATAATAGATGTTATTATTCATCGCTGCACTCAAAGATATACTAACTCTTCATTTGATTTCACTCTTAAAAAACGCCTTCTTTTTGATAAATTTTAGGGCGATCGAGGCGTTTTATAAATTATTATTTATTGGAATTAATTATTTATTGGAATTAATTTATTTATTGGAATTAATTATTTATTGGAATTAATTTATCTATTGGAACTAAATATTCGTCGGAATTCAGTAATTATTTATTCAATTGATTATTCATTGGATATAATTATTCTTATTTTTATTAATTATTCATTGGAATTAATTATTTATTGGAATTAAATATTCGTCGGAATTCAGTAATTATTTATTGGAATTAATTATTTTTAGTTTTAAACGAATCACGTGA